AAGGCGATGAACCGGGCTGCCGAAGCCGGGAACCTGCATGTGCTTCGGTGGCTTCACGAGCATCGAAGCGAAGGCTGTAGCATCGAGGCGGTCGAGGCCGCGCTCCTCGAAGAACACCCGCACGTCTTCAAGTGGCTCTGCGAGCATCGGCATGAGCTGCCATTGCGCAAGTGTGTACGCCTCGCCAAGCAGCACGGTCCGTCGCACCTCGTGCGCTGGGTACAGGCGCTCGCGCAACGCCGGGCGGCCGACGAGAAACCCTAGCCCAAGGCAAGCAACGATCGATCGACTCTATGCAGGCAAGAAGGACTTGTAAGCGCTGGGTCGGCGATCGCAGATAGATATTGTGTTGTCGACGTTGGACAGCTCAAACTCAAACTCATACCTCCACCCATATCGTTTTTACCTCGTGAAATTGAAGGATTGGGCCACTATTGTGCGTCTGGAGGGCACCTCGTTGTGGATCACCGACTTGAGATGGTCACGGTTCCTCCCGTTGAGCAGACGAGTCGCCAGCGATTTTCTTACGCGATAGCCCAGCTCCTGCGGCAGCAACCTCTAGGATCTGTCTCCGCAAAGAGTCGTATGTTGGATGGTAGTGTTTTAGATGCAAATGTAAATGGAGGCCAGGAGAATCGGGATGCGCTTGGCGGCCTCGAGGTACTCTTCTTTGCTCAGCTCGCCGTCGCCGTTGGTATCGATCTCCTGGAGCAGCTTCATCGTGTCGAGCAAGTCTTGGCCCATGGCCCCAAAGCTACACCAAACACATGGCATTCTTCGTTTCGACAGAGACGACAATGTACCTCGCGCAAACGACGCTGCTCAGCTCTTCGCGCGTGATGCACCCGTCGCTGTCGTAGTCGTAGAACCGAAAGTAAAACCGAGCGCAGCACTCGTCATGCCCCGAGTTCTACGTCCTTGTCGAAACGGCAGTGCACAAGGTGGACTATACCAAGAGCAGTGACCTACATCCACCACATTGTCTATTGTCCAATGTGTCTGCAACGACGGAGACCGTACCAGAGATACCCGGCGACGTCACCGAGAAACTCGCGCGCGTTCAGTTTTCCATGCGCCTCTACAAGTTGCATATTGTGGTTACCGCACATCGCGCAGAGTTGGTGCACCCGTCGGCGCGTACGCTGTCGAGAGCTCGTGCAAGAGGGCGGCATCTTCAGGCAGCTGGTCGTGAAAGTACGACGCCAGCATGTGCTCAAACTGGTCGACGCGGAGCGGGGCAGGCGGCGCCACGTACCCCGCGGTGCCTGTGCTAAGCCGGCGGCGAAGGTGCTTGGCCTCGACCTCGATGCGCGTCGAGTCGTTGACGTCTTCGAGCATCGAGAGCATCGCCGCCCAGTCGAGTTTGGCGCGTTCGCAAAAGCCGCGCAGACTCTATCCATGCGATGAGCGTCTGCCGCACAAAACTTGCACAAGCCACGATGGCGCACCTGGCGCACTTGGTAGCCGGTTTGGCGGTTGAAGGCGAGGGACTTAGTGAGCGCTTCGAGCACCAGCGGCTCGACACTGGTCGCGGCTAAAAACTCGTCCTCTGTGATCTAGTCGTAGGCTTTCGTGATGGACGCGGTGGACGACGCAG